CTGCAACAGGGCCTGAAGTTGGTTGAAGGTGGCCTGGACCGGCCGGACGACCTCGCGCTCGAGGCGCTGCTTCATCGAGTGGCCCACGCAGTGCGCGGTCAGCGCCGCCAGGGCGTGGGCCAAATCCCCTCGCAGCCGCCCCAGAAGGCCGGAGAGATCGTGGAGATTCTCCAGCCGCGGGTCTGTCCAGGCCGTGGCCCCGCTTTGCAACGCGAGGATGCTCGCGTTGAGGGCCGGGAAGGCCGTGAAGATCGGCCGCCACTGGGCATAGCGCGCGGCCGCGATGGATTCGAGGGTCGCGGCGCACCACAGCGGGCTCACGTCCCCGGCAAACCCGGTTTGCCCGTAGCTCCGAATCGCGTGGTCGAAGGCGCCGAGTTGGCAAAGAAGGTCCCCGCGCCGTTTGAGCCCGACGCTGTCGGCCGGCGCGCTATGGAAGATCGAGCTCACAAAGGAGTTCGAGGAAGGCGGCGGGGAGTGGAAAAGCGACGAGGACGACTCCGGCTTTGCACGTTTGGCCTCACGCGGAGGACAGAGGTCGCGCAGGATGGATCGAACCACGGCTTGGGCAAGCGTCTCCATGATCCGTTCCGCGGTCTCGCCGATCGCGGAAGTGCTGAAGACGGGCGTGAAAAAGAAGCATTCCGAGGAGGGCGACCGGACAAGTGCCGTCGCGACGTCCGGGGGGGGATTCACCACGACGCATTGGCAGACGTGGCCCACGTATCGGGTCTCAAAAGTCTTTTGGACCGCCTGCAGGGCGCGGGAAAGCGGAATGGCGGTGTTGCTGACATTCACCACCACCATCACCGCGCGGAAGGCGCGGTGGCCATCCATGTACTCCCAATTCGAAATGCATTCATGGCTTTCAATGCCAAAGCGAAACACCGCCTCCGCGATGTAAAGCGCATCCGGGGTTAACGGAGGAGGGGGCGAGGCCAACCCTTTCGCCTCGAGTTTCGGCTCCCCTGGCGTCGCAGTGCCCTCGGCGGGATCGACCGCGAAGGCGGCTTTGAGTCGGGTCATGGGGATCGCGGTTTGGTCAAAGCACATCGTTTTCAGCCGCAGCTCATAGCCGCTTACTAACGGGTCGTTGGTTTCGCTCGCCAGGAACATTCCCTGCACGCGGGAGTTGAAGAAGGTTGGATTCGGCGCGGATGGCGTGCCGTCGGGGGCGCCCGATTCCGCCGCGACGGCCATACAAAAGGAAAGCGGCAGCCACAGAAGCCGAACGACGCTGTGTTGGTCAAGGGTGCTGCTGCTGGTGGGGTAGAAGAATGCCCCATAACGCAAAATCGCTTCCGACATGACGGCAATCCCGTCGTTGGCCCTGCAGGTCGTTTGGAGAGGAAATGGTTCTAACTAGTTGTTTGTTGAGTCTACGTCGAGACGTTTGGCGAACTCTTCATAGGGCTGTGTACAGATACCCCTGCATTCATTAAAAAAAAAAAATAGACATGCCCAGGGATAAATAAATCAAAAGTTCGTTGGTTTTAGTATGTTCAATTCAATTCAAGCTCGTTGCAAAAAAAAAAAGTTAAGTAATCGGTGTCATCGTCACGTTTGGGATCTAAATCTATCATTTTCCAATAAGGGGAATCATTATATTCATGTATTCTTGTTAATCCATAAGTGTCGACTTTAACATGAGGATACCATTTATCCAATAGACATCCCCCCGCAGGTCCTGATCCCATACTTGAGTTCTTCAAGAGTTTAACAACAGGTGCCCAAATGGGATCGCTTTAATGGGTTCGTGCGCCAGCGTGTCTTGCGTGCCGATCTTATAATAGAAAATGCCCTTCATACAGACAGGACCCTCCTCTTCGTTGACAAAAGTGAGGTCGAACTCGTGGACATTGGCCTTTTTCTGGGTGTCCTCGCCTTCCTCAGGGCGATTAGCGGCCCCGGCGGGGTCGGATTGGGGGCCGGCCGACATCCCGTCCGCCGCGACGCTCGAGGATTCCAACTCCTGCGTGAAGGTCACGTTATCCAACCCCACGTCGTGAGGGGCCGGGGGCTCGCCGAGGGCCCCGGGGGAAGGATATCTCCCCCCATCGCGCTCCCGCAGAAGCGTCAGGACGTCGCGCGGGTGAAGATAGCCGGCGAGCTCGACCATCGTGCTGGTCGGGATATCCAGCGAGGCGAAGTAGGCGTTCACGAGCTGCACCCGCGCCGCAAGGTCGAGCGGTTCGATTCGAAACCGAACGCTAAAGATCAAGTGGGCCTGCCCAAAATACCCTTTCCCCGCGTGAGCCCGATTCCCGTACTCCGGGTCGAACGGGCCGACGGTGGCGGTCACGCGGAGGTCTTCGTTGTGCGCGGCGCACGGCCCCTGAAGGCGTTCGCAAACGAGCCGCGCGAGCGCGGGGGTGTGGTAG